CCGCTCGCGGTTGTGGCGGGTTGAGCCTCGGGGGGTAGCAGTGTGGTGGGCAGGTCGTGGCCGCGTAGCCTTGCGAAGACCTTTATCCTCGGCTGGGATAGGTATCTACCCGTCAATTGCAAAGTAGCCTGGGAACCTGCAGGATAGTGACAGTAGAGTTTTCCTAGGTGGGCTGCAATGGAAGAAAGTTCCAAGTATACGTCTTCTTCGGACGCTGATCCGGGTGCATGCGCTGTGAGACCGTTCTGTCGTAGGACTGAACAGCCGGCTGTGAACATGGTACATACACACGCACCTGCGCACACCGCCGCGGCGTTGCAGCCCGTCAGCTCTGGGTACTTGGAGTCGTCCAGGCCGCCCTCCTCCGCGGCCTCTTCCCAGCTGAGAACCACGGGCCGCTCGCCAACACGCATCTGCAGGACCCTGCGGTCGACCTGCAATACGGCAGCACCCGCGCCAGGGTTAAGAGGGCGGTGCCTCTTCCTTACATTCAGCAAGGAAAACAGCTGGTTACGTCGGCCATTGTAGAGATACTGCGATGCATGAATCCTTTCAACATGGTCGCCGAACCGCGGCCCCACCCCAGCCAGTCGTTACTCCCCCTCTGCGACAACCATGCACGCCAAAGGACCCAACGCACAGTCCCACTCCCATTGACCCACGGGTCAGCCGCGAACACGTGTCAGAACAGCAGCCCCCAAAATGTGTCCGTATGCTGTGTGTCGGCTCTCTTAAGTACTTTGGTAACCGCTGTTTCATTCCGCACAAGGTCTCGTATCCTGCCTTACCTGCACGTATGTGTCCCGCAGGCGTTGCCCCAGGACGCGGAACACGTCCGCGGCGGCCTGGTCGGCGTCGTTGGCTGGAATGAGCGCGGACGACAACTCCTGGGATGGGGAGGGCTGGCGCAAGACGTCCACCACAAGCTGGAGACAGCCTGCGGGGTAGTAGGGGATCCAAGCGGGGAAAGGGGGAGAGTGCGGTGCCGTGGGTGTGGGAGCGCGCGGGATGCGGGTGGTGGCCTTTTATGTTAGGTTGAGAGGATCGCGTCCTAGCCGGGAAAGGGGAGCTCCCACGTGACGGCCATTTGTGCAGGAGCCCGGAACTCCTGTCCATATGTGCTGGTCGCCCGCAGTCGAACAGGTCCGTCTGACAGCTGCACCAACCAATTCAATCAGGACAAATTATCCGCAATAAGATAAACTCTCTTGCATATGTGGCATACCAGGGCGGGGAACCGTCAATACCATCGAGGCAAAATATGTACGCTATGTGCATTGCCAGGCTCGCAGCCTCGCACTGCCAGAGCGCGTGTGTTCATGTGTACTTTGTGTTAGGTCCGCAGCCTTTGGTGACCGGCGGGGTCCGCAGCCTTAGCCTCCCATCCACCCCTTGGGAAGGCAAACCGTCAGGGCTAAACCGTCTAAACCGGCTCCCGTCCTCCCCCCGTCTTTCATCTCCTCCTGCTCCCCTCACCGGGCCGCAAGGTCGCCTGCAGCGCCTCGGCCCGAGCTTCCTTGAGCCAGCGCCGCAGGTTGGCACGTAGGTTGTTGGGCAGCTCGTGCGGCAGCACGTTCATCGCCTGAGGGAGGGGTTCGCATTTGGGGGGACACGGAAATCAACCCGGTGCAAAGGGTTTTCCGAAGCAATGTCCAGCAGCGAGGGATGGAGGACTAAAGAACGAAAGGCAGCACAAAAAGCAGGGCTCATGCCCCCGGAGGTTGATCTTTAGTAAGGCAAGTAGATGGCAGGATGTACGTCAAGCCCGCTGCTGCAGGGTTGGGTGCTGGGGCACTTCAAACCTGCCCAATGAGCGCCACCCACGGCAACGATTCAGCCCCAAAACGCATCCGCCTGTCCACGGCAACAGCTCGAATGCTCTCCGAGACAACTGTCACAACCGTCACAACCTCCAACACTCTCACCTTGAGAGACACCCGAGTCAGCTCCCGAGGGTCCACGTCATCAGGCTCTTCCACGTAGCGCGGAACGGCAGGCGCCGCCAGCCAGCTGGGCGCCGACGGCATCGGTGGATGGGGCTCAAGCTGGGGCGGCAGCGGCGGAGGCGGGTATGGGTGCGATGGCGCCTGAGGATGCGGCGGCGCCGCCGCTGCTACTGATGGCCAGTAGAAAGGACTCATCGGCGCGTGGCCGTACGGCATCGCCTGTACAGTCTGTTGATGCGCCATCACCGCTTGATGTACCGTTGATGCAATGCCTCGCTGCTCCTCTTGTTGCTGTTGCTGCATCGTACAGGCATCGCCGGCTTCGTCCTGCAGCAGCGTCAGCAACTGCTGGAACATCTCGTCATCCTCGCTGCTGTCGTCGTCCTTAGCGCCCTGCGGGACCGGGTCATTCCCAAAGCCCGCGCCAGTCAACGGCAAGTGTGGCTGTTGAAGCAGCTGCGACGCCCCACCCATTGCACTGCGCTCTATCGCTGTGTCGGCCGCAGCGGCAGCGCCAGCGTAATTGCTGAATATGATATGACCAGCCGGCGGCTGGGAGGTTGCTGCCGAACTGGAGGCCAGTGATGTGGCCGGCGCCGGCGCTGCCGTCCACAGGGCCCCGGGCCCCGGCGCTGGTGGGGCCGGGAAGGATACCGTTGCGGACAAGGGTCCAGAGCTCGCAGTTGGTACGTTACATGCGGCCTGCTGCACGGCGGCTTCGTTGACGACGACCCCCGGGTGGGAAGCCAAAGGCCGCCAGCCAGGCTGCAGCAGCTGCGGCATCGGCATCAGCGGCGGGTGCGGCCGCTGCTGCTGCTGCGGCGGCGGCTGCGACAGCTGTGGAAGCGGTGCCGCAAGGCTGCTGGCATGCGCCTGACTCTGATCAAAGCCCTGCAGACCTCCCAGCACAGGCGGCTCCGGAACCATGGAACCCGAGGCGGCAAGCTGCCGCTGGGTATCGGGGCCCCCCGACGTGACTGTCCAGGGAAGCTTGGCCACCGTGCTCGGCGGCTTTAAGGAAGCTGCTAGCTGTGAGGCCTGTTGCATCACCGCCATGACCGTGTCCATTACCGGTGCTAATGATTCAGAAGGACCTGGTGTGTAGGACCCGGCTACTGGTGCCGCTCCCATGCCCTGCGCTACTGCCACACCTGCACCGGTGCCGCTGGACGGTGCCGCAGCGGTGAGAACGTTATCGTGGGGGTTCATCGGCCCATGAGCCACCTCCTGCTTGAATTGCTCAATCAGCGGGCAGAGCTCCTGCATAATGCTGCTGATGCGCGCCGCCACGTCGCCTGGCTGCGGCGGCGCGATGACATCGCCAGCGCCGCCGCTACCGGCGGCGGTGCCGAAGGCGTCGCCACTGGCACTGACGCGCGTGGCTGAGACGCCCTCGTTCGCCGAGTACGCCGGCGACGCTGCGTTCATTGCAATCCTGCCAGTGCTGCCGCAAGGCTCCGCTTCAGATTGACGACTGCCTCGGGACTTGGTGGTCTCCGCTGGGAAGCCATGGCTCCCGTTGCCCGCGCTGCTGGCCCCGCCGCCGCCGACGGCGTGCAGGGCTTGCCTAGCGGTCCCTTGGGATGCCTTGCCGCCAGCAGACACGTCGCTTCCAGAGGTATACGGTGCGCTCGAAGGGCTCGGCGCGCTGCCGCCGCTAGCAGCTGCCGCTGCCGCTGCCGCTGGGCCAGGCGCAGGAGCCGTTGCAGCAGCAGCCGCAAAAGATGGTTGACCACTTGGCGCATGGATATCCGTGCGGGCCGTTACGGCACATGGAGGGTGATTCCACGCGCCAGGTACGGCACCATTTGCGCGGTACCCAGTCCCGTACATACCGCTGGGCGCTACTTCCATGCAGTGGCCGGCCTGCGTCATGGCTGGAGTATGTACGCCGAGCGAAACCCCTTCCATGATGACCTGGTTCTGCACGGCAGCTAGTGCAACTTGCACGTCGTACTGCTGCTGGGACCATGAAGACGGCACGCCAGCCCCCTTGGGTAAGGACAGCAGCAGCTGCTGCTGCTGTGGTGTAATGAAGGGCCCTCCACCACCGCATACCAATGGTGGCGGCAGCGCAATGCGCTCACTCGTCGACACGACGCCGCTGCCTCCCGTTGTCACCAGTGGCCGCAGCAGCAGCTCCTCCAGCGCGCCACTGGCTCCATCCCATACGCCCTTGGGCGGGTGCGGACTCGCCGGCTTGGATGGTGTCGCCACCTCCGAAGGCAGCACAGGTACGCCGGGACTAAGAGAGCGCTGGGCACGCTGGTCCACGAGGTTAGCAGCGCTGCCGCGGCCGTGGCCGGCAGCCTGCGTCGCCGCCACGGCAGAAGTCATCCAGAAGCCGTCCATAGTCGCTGCCCCGGAGGTGCCCGAATTTGCGCGTTCCGTCCTGTCGGCGGACGCAGATGCGGACCCGGCTCGTACGGAAGTGGACGCTGAGGCTGCGGCAGCAACGGCGGCCGCCGCCGCCTTGCAGCCCTTTCGCCGACTGTTCGTCTTCGCTTTTGCCCGGCTGCTCCTGCCGCCTGTCTGCGCCGAGTCCGACTCCCCATCGTTGAGCTCTTGCATGCGGGCCAGGACCTTGGCGCGGTGCCGGGCGTTGTGGCGTTCCAAGGTGGCGATGCAGCTCCTGCAGCAGAGCGACAGCGTCAACAAGACTACCAGCAGGACAGTCCGCAGGTCGTGCTTTTGGGTTGGTTTCTAGCCATAGCCAAGGCAAAGTCTAAGGCAGTTGTGTTTGTGCATCTAATCTAAGCGTGCGAGCGCGCTGATACGCATGACCTGGGTAAGGTGCTGACGGCAACTATTTCCAGATGCGCCAAAACGCATTGCACGTGCAAATCTGCAATGGCGGAGCCGTAATACGATGTGGGTTAACTTCACTCTGCAACAGTGCGCGCCCCAGGGGGGACACCTGACCGGGTGCGCGTCTCTGGGCACGTGCTCAGGCTGGGCCCAGTGCCAACGTCGGTCTAAAAGTTAACCGTCTAGCAAGGATGCTAGCTTCGCGCGTGGTGCGTACGGCACGTGTACCCACTTCTTGTTACCGGCGAACTCGCCCACGAACTGAAACTTGGCGCACTGCTGGCAGAAGCGCGAAACCACGCCGTTGACAACGATTGCCTGGGCATGGAGGTGCCGCTCGCAGACACGCATGCGGACATAGTACCGTTTCAGTCCCTCCAGGCTGGCGCCACAGCCGACGACCTGCGTGTTCCAAGGCATCCTGTAAAGCCTCAAAGAGAAGGAGGATACAACTCCCTTGCTCAGTCCCTTGCTCAGTCATCTGCTGGGCGTGAAGGAAACACACATCCGTGCACAACTGCCACACAGGCGCTCCCACACTGAATCCAGGATAAGAATGTGGATTCGCTGTATAAGTAATAGCGGAATAGATCCCTGTTTTGGGCGGCGGGCTGCGCGATTCGGGAGGAAGGCTTTGGGGGAGATGCCTCCAGGTGTTGTACTGCAGCCTTCCGTGAAAGCCTGACATGACTCACCTCACAGACCGTCGCATGCTCTGCATCGTTGCGGTCGACAGATTCCAGGACTGGCAGTGAGGAAAGTTTGGGGTTCTCCGCAGGCGTAGGCTGGAAGAAGTGCCCACTGAGGGCACCGTCCGGAAAAGAGTGTGCCAGAGGACTAGGGGCAACATCGGCCGCCTCGCCTGTGTGTTATGGGCGGATAAACGGGGTAACTACTGGGCCTACATGCAAGGGTAGCTGTTCATATATTCGTCGCTTGAGGCACGGCCATGCACGCAACGCATTTGCCTTGCAAGCAGGATGCAACACCCAGACGCAAGCACACGATGATTTGGCAGGTTGAGCTCCGTGTTTTCCATATGTACGAAATGCATATGTTCGTAAAACGAATTCGACATAGGAGCAAGCTTATCCGACTGTGTGGCCAGACGTCCCGGTAAAGGCCGAGACTGATATGGGCAGCAAAATATCTTTCGTACCAAGCACGAATCAAAACGTCACTAAGCAGGTGGCCATGGCAACATCCCACCTGATGCCAGTATGCGCTTCTTGTGTGCCACGCAGGCGATGGGGTCCCATTCATAATCTTGCAGAGCCCACGCCTCCTCTGCGCGCGCCTCCTCCTCAACCCGCCTACGTACACGTGCTCCAGACATTATCGCGGTGCGTGTTATAGAATGTTAAAATTGAGACCTGGTCTCCATCATTACTAGAACCCCCGTCCAGGCATTCACTCGATGTATACCGTTATCAAGAGCTTTATGCAAAAACAATAATTTGTGAAGACGTGCAGGGGCATTCACCTAGTTAGGAGGCATGCGTCCCTGAATGTCCATGTCCATATACGAAGCTCGTCCACAGCTTCCGCTATACGAATGGAAAAAAAGTATAGTGCGAATTAAGCAATTACTTATGGATGATGTACATAATGTTGTATGCTCTGGTGGTCGTGCGGTGGTCTCTGTTGCCTCTGGTATGCCTCTTTGTCGCCTAGCGATCACGCCCCATGGTTCATTGTCATACAGAAACCTGAAGCCGGTACGAAGCCAAGAACGCAAGCAAGCTGTTGTAGCTGTGGGAGATCGATACAGTGAGGAAAAGACCTTGCCTTTGTTAGGCTCGCGACATCTGCGTCATCTCGGCGACAAGAAACGGCCATGTCGAATGAGACCAGAAGCCATTTACGGTTTCGTTGAGTGTGATAGCCCTTTATATATAAAAATACTCGGAATTGTGTTTGGACATATTTCAGTTCTGTTTCGACCTGGATCTTAGGTGCTTACAGCCAGCGCTGAATGCAATGTGCCATGCCGGAGAGGGGACCGGAAAACGACCGCTGCCAATGATCATTACATTGCAGAATGGACAAAACTGCCAAGCCATGCGCCTGGCTGCGCGGCAACGCCCACCGCCTTCAGCGGGGACCAAGAGAAGAACACCAATCGCGCTGGGACGTATGGAGGGAGGGTATTATGTAGGGATGGATGGATGGATGGATAGATTAATGGAAGGGTGGATGTATGGAAGGAGGGATACCAAAAATAATTTTAATGATTAAATTAACTTGATGTATGTATGAAGAGAGGGACGTGTGGGCCTATGGCACACATTTGACCGGTAGGGTTATCGAGACATTACAGCCCTTTACCGATGGGTCACCGACAGTCTACCCTATTTATTAGTTACCGGCCGGGATCAAACGTTATGGAACGTAATGGAAAGTACCTAACCATGCCTAGTAATGCCTTGTCTACACCTGCTGGTTTAGTAAAGCGACCAGACCTGCCTGTTGAGCTGCTGCGTGATACTGTGCCGGTTGGCGCACGTTGACAAATGAATAAATTCACAACAAGACTGTCCATGTATACATCTTTAGATTTGATTTAACATATGCAGTAGAGAGGTAAATTTTAAAACTTGGACAAAGGTCACAAACAGTTTTCGAATCCAATGCTCGTCATTTCACCCCGGGGTGAGAAATGAGAGCATCCCTAACTAAGCCATTCATATGCGACTCAGTCTTAGCACATGACATTTGAAAAGCCATACATTTTTGTGGCTGCAACTGGCTGACAAACGCGCTTGATTGGATGGCCTTACGGAATATATAGAAACTACGCTTGAGAACCTCGCCCAGAAATTTATGTATGCCGCTGCAAGCCTGGCGACAAGCTGCTGATCGATGACTGGGAGGCAGTTGCTCCTCTGCATTTGTCGCCAAGTGCCTTTACGGAGATCATTCGGATGGTCCTTGCTTATCACCAGTCGGTCGGTACCGGTCGGTAACTGGTCATTTCGGTACCTTGCCGGTAGGGTAACCGGCATATCCAGCTTACGACCCAATAACTGCGGGGTTCGTGACCGATAAGGTAACCGACCAGGGAGTTTCGGGTCGTACCGAAACTCCCGAAAACAGGAATAGAGTTCCCGAAGCCAGCCGGCTTGCACAATTAGGATCATACGCCGTATACGAAAGGTGTTATGCGGCCCGAAGACCGCCTAAGACGACCTAAGTCCGCGGTCAATGATGCGGAACATGTCGCGGGCCATTGTACCGGAAGACAGAAATAGACCCGTTCCCGAAAACAGAAATACCCCGTTTGCCGATGTCTGTAACCGATCAGTAAGGTTACCGGTCGGTTGGGTAACTGACCAGTAAGGTTACCGGTCGTTTAGGTAACCGACCAGTAAGGATACCGGTCGGTTACCGGGTCGTTGTCTCAAAATGTCGGTTACCTTACCAAAGCGACCGGTTGGATATACCTAACCGGTCGGTTACCGGAGGGAAGTATGTAGGGATGTATGGATGGAAGGGATGTATGTATGTATGTATGTATGTATGTATGTATGTATGTATGTATGTATGTATGTATGTATGTATGTATGTATGTATGTATGTATGTATGTATGTATGTATGTATGTATGTATGTATGTATGTATGTATGTATGTATGTATGTATGTATGTATGTATGTATGTATGTATGTATGTATGGAGGGAGGGCCTCGCTATACACTTGATCTCGGCGCAGTGGCAGCACCTCGGGTCATAACCAACATCCTGGAATCGCAGCTGCAGACACAGGCCCCCAGGCTGGACCATTCCATGCGGTTCATGCAGATTGCCCAGACAGGTATGTCGCCCGTCGGCGCCAAGCCTTAGTGTTGATACAAGGCTCACTTTGCGGTTTTTGTGTGTTTTGTGTGTTCAGGCCCCCACTGCGCAGCTGTACTTTAGTGCCATGAACACCATTCATGACTTGTTGGTGTTCGCCAAGCCTTGTGCCGGGGAAAATGTTTTTCTTGCCGTGTTCCACAAAGGGTGGGAGCACCTGCAAGTGTCGCGTACCCCTTGCTCCTTCTTGGTGTTGGCTTTTAGCATGGAGGACACCTGGCGTTGTTATGAGCGGTTGCCGCTTGTTGCCCTGTGCTGCCTCTTGCTTCTCCGCTCTTGTTAGCTATCTTAGGGTTTTGCCTGTTCCTTCACCCCGATTGTCTCCCTTCCACCGTTTGGGTTCGCGTTGTGGGGTGGACGGGGAACCTGTTTTTCAGGACACGCCGTTACATTGGAAGGGTCGCATCGTGTTTCCCTAACCTAAGCGGTTTCCCTCATCTCCGGTCGGCGCTTCTCCAGCGCCTTGTGCAGGACCGAGCGTGTCGCGCCGTTTCGCTTTCAGTATTTTTACCGCTGAGAGAGGCATTTCTATCCTCTGGTAGTGACACTAGGAGCAACAACTCGTGCGGGCTTGCGTTGTGGAAGGACTTTGGTGGTGCAGCTGTTGTTGTTGTTACATCGGACTACCAAGTTTCTATGACGTAATGCAAAGAAACCGAGCCAATGGGCACATCAACTCAGCAAGCCCAGTTACGACCAAAACCAGAAGCACTGATGCCAACAGGGAATTTTGCCGTTACGGCTTCGATGCCTAATCTTGCTGCTGTTGTTGTTGTTGTTCAGCACGCGCCCTGGCCGCCCATCCCAGTTCACGTCGCCCGTGTCGCCATCGTTGCTTGCGGTTTCTTCTCTGCCCTCCGTACGATGATGTCCTCTATCTGCACCATCTGCACCTTCTCTCTCGATGTGTGCTGCAACGGAAAATCGCCGCCCGGCACCACCACCGCCACTTGCGCTGACACGGAACTGGCAACTGCCATATACGGCACCGGCGACTGGAATAGACGCCATAGACGCCGTCTTGCCGAACATGTACGGCAATACACAGCCAGAGTGGCGCGCCTGGGAGCTTGCCGGCCGACAGAGTCGTTGGCAGTTGGTAACGGTACTGTCCAGTGTGTTGGAATGGATGGCAAGCGAGTGTGTGGTGGCTGTACGACACCTGTTACACGTATCATCGCCCCGGGTGTGACCGTGGCGAAGCAATGCACCGCTGCCACAGCCCACACATCCACAATGGTCCCATATCCGCTACAGTGGGGGCAGGTGCGTGTGTGGGTTAAGAGTAAGCAAGCGGTGAGTGTCAGAGAAGTGTTGAGTACACATTCAAGGAGATATATGATTTGGGACATGGCGGCCAAGATTGTCAAAAGCATATGCGGATTCTTTCAGGTTGTTCGGGGAATGAACATCGATGAATTAGGAGGGAGGTGGAGGACGAAGAGGGAGGGAGCGGGCTCACAAGAGTGCTGTTGGACCCCGGGAGCAGTCGGGGGAGGGCTCTGCTTCCTAAGGACATTGCCCAGCAATGCGGGGCAGGGAAGAGACCAT